CGCATACTCATCTGATGCAAAGCGTTGCAATCTCTGCATAGAAGAAAAACTCTGCATAATGGATGCAAACAAGCATTTAACACTGAACAAAAGACCCGAGATATTCGCAAAATGCCGACATCGCGAGAAATTTTGGGCGGGAAATTTTGAACGCGCGTGCGAATAATGACAGTGCATGCACGTCAGCAAACTATAGATCACGCCATTATAACGAACTGAATTTAATCGCCTGAAGATTGCCACAAATAGTGGCATGAAACTTAAAGTAGCGAGAAATTGAAACATTTTAAGATAACAAATTAATTCGCTCTGCTAAATAATTTGTAGTATTGAGCACTCTCTTATCTATAACGAAAAACAAAACTGTTTATATATATATATATATATATATATATATATATATATATATATATATATATATATATATATATATATATATATATATATATATATATATATATATATATATATATATATATATATATATATATATACATTGTGTCACTGATGAAGCCCTAACCGGCGAAACGTCTGACAAACTTATTAAAGTTTTTTAAGCTTACTTTTGCCTGAAGAAATCATTACCAACACCCAGCACATATATCAGGCATGGCAACCAAAACTTTTTCATATATATATATATATATATATATATATATATATATATATATATATATATATATATATATATATATATATATATATATATATATATATAGTTTATATATATATATATATATATATATATATATATATATATATATATATATATATATATATATATATATATATATATATATATATATATATATAGTTGGACTTTAAAAGAAGTGTTGAGGATAATCAGTGACTCGTGTTTTTGATGACTTCGATGAAGGGAAATTTTCAAAACAGCATTTGAGCATGTTATCCATTCGTACGGCAAACTTCGAAATTCAGTTGATGGTAAAGATTATAATTATGTGCTTATCTCCGAATGTTTCATAAAATTCGGAATTGCAGAGCGTTGTGTTAAATTTTGCCTCGTTACACCATTTTTTTGCTGCAACAAAGGTAAACAACAATTGTATTTTGGCCATGCCATGATTTTTTGTTATAATGTTAATAATTTTATATGACTTTTAAGATTCTATTGAAATAATTCTGAGCCGTAAACATATTTTACTTCTTGGCCATTTAATCAAAATACGACTCGCTCGGACGTATGTTGAGCGCAATGCCGATAGTTGAAAAAGTTTCTTCCCAACTTTAAAATTTTGTGACCAGCTGGCCAAGACGACTTCTCGTAAGTATCTAAAATTCAATGTGAGTGGTATTCTATCGAACGTCAACGATATACGTGTACATGCGAAGAGTTTTAAAATTAAAAGCTTTCCATGTCATGCTTCTTGCGAAAGCAACCGTTCGTTAGCCTGCGCGGGCAGAAAGCCTTCACTGGAAAATTTTTTTGAAAATCCATAGAAGGTTATATACCGTTATAGAATGAAAATTGTATGAACCTTTATTGGAAATAGAATGGATTTTGATCATCTATAATAATTGTATATTTCCATACTATGGATATAGTGTGGAAATAATATGGATATACTATGGATTTAGTCGTGCAGCAAGTGCAAATTTCATAGTATGGATTTCACTTTTTTTCCCAGTGTTCTAAAAGTTTGGCAGTAATACCTAAATACAATAGCATGCAGAATCTACTAAATTATATAGTATAACCTACATAACACATAATTATATCTTCATCAACACTTGACTACAAAACTTTCAGCTCAGTTCTAATACATAAATTACATTAAAACATTCAAAGCAAACTTGCTCTATACTTCACGATTTCCCATGGTAAATCAGTTCTTCTCATTTCTGCAGACAAAAATTGCTTCAGAGCTCATTGTATGGAACGATTTTCCAAATATATGTTTTTGAAAATTGAAATCTTGCATCCAACTCTTGGAAAACAGCCATACTTTTGAGACCAGTGAAAAGGTCCACCCATAACACCCACGCGCCCGCGATTATTGATGAACTGTAGACTCAATGCTTTCCTTTCTCAAGTTGTAAATAGCCGTGCGGAATTAGTACCCAGAACCGCGCTTAATTCGCACCGTTGGCTCGGGGATTTAGCTTGAGCATCTTTATTGAAATCTGAGCTAATGTAATTGGGTTTTTCAAAATATTTAATAACCAGGGGCCGGTTGTATAAAACTCTTAATCACTTTTTTAATCACTATTTTGTAGTTAAATAATGATTAACTCTCATTTAGGCGCTTCTTATTGGATGACGTTTCCACTTAACTATAGTTAACTTTAATCACTTTTTCATACAACCGGCCCCAGTTGTCTAGCGCTTAGCTTCATTTAATTAATAGATCGTTTGTGTTTTTCTTTAATTAATGTGCGAAAATCAATACTCTGTCTTATATATTTCAGATGAAAAGCCGGCTAGCTGAGAGAGCAGCTGTGGAAGGATATGATAAAGTTATACAAGAAATGACCCTGGCTGAATTGAATAATTACACAGAGTACAAGGTTGGATCGCATTGCTTTTTCCGCCTTTATTTTATTACGGTCAAACTTATTAATTTCCTCTGTGCACTAATCCCCGAGCCGACGGCGCGAAACGCCGTGGGAGGGTACTAATTCCCCCCGGCTATTTACACCCGGGGAAACGAAAGCATTAGTGAAGTCTAAAGTTCACCAATGATCGCGGGCGTGGTTCACTGTGCGTGGGTGGTCATCCTCACTGATCTCAAAAATATGGCGGACTGTCATGAATAGCGAACACTGTGATTGGTCCAATTTAAAGTTTGCATTATAACGACTGCATGACGACAGCCAAATAGCAAACATTTCTTGATTTGATGATTGATAAATTTCTTGCAAATATATTTAAATTTTGCTCGCATTTTTGCAAGATTTTGTAAATTTCAAGAAAGAAATGGCGAAAGAATCGTCTAAAAGAAGGGAGCCGACGTTAACGAAGGTGAGTTTGTTTTAAATATTGATTTTATAATTGCTTTAAAACCCGACGGCCTTTGCGTATATGAAACAACTAAACAAGACAGCATATCGGGCCTCATTTTAGTGTATCTTTAATATTGATTCCCTTTTTTGTTATATTGAATTTTTTTAAATAAACTGAAAGAAAGCAAAGTTATTTGCATGCGAGAATTTTAAATCATTTTATTGCAAACTCAAAGTTTATCGATAAAGCCATTTAATTAAAGAATAAAGCAGTTTAGTTTTATAAAGAACACTTTAAAACGTTTTGCGATGCGTTTGTGGTTGAATTTTACCTTAAATTGAAGATTATATTACGTATAATATCATACCTAACATATATATGTTGGAAAATTGATAATTTTGTAATTAAAAGTGATATTTTTAAGCGATTTTTCATTTGTAAGAATATTTTCATTTTTGCTCGCATTTTTGCAAGATTTTGTAAATTTCAAGAAAGAAAGGGCGAAAGAATCGGCTAAAAGAAGGAAGCCGACGTTAACGAAGGTAAGTTTGTTTTAAATATTGATTTTATAATTGCTTTAAACTAACCCGACGGCCTTTGCGTATATGAAACAACTAAACAAGACAGCATAAAAGTTCAGTGTATCTTTAATATTAATTCCCTTTTTTATTACGGAATTTTTAAATAAAAAAGAAAGCAAAATTATTTGCATGTGAGAATTTGAAATCATTTTATTGCAAACTCAAAGTTTATCGATAAAGCCATTTTAATTAAAACTCGAATTAAAGGCAGTTTAGTTTTATAAAGAACTACACTTTATTCTTTAAAACGTTTTGCGAAGCGTTTGTGGTTGAATTTTACCTTAAATTGAAGCTTATATTACGTATAATATCATACCTAACATATATATGTTGGGAAATTGATAATTTTGTAATTAAAAGTGATATTTTTAGGCGATTTTTCATTTGTTAGAATATTCTTAAAAAATTATCGTGTTACCATGACAACTACTTTAGATACTTCATGTTCGGAAAATACAATGGTTTTGTCAGCAAGGCGAGGGTTTCTGCATGCATGTATTTTCTAGTTTGTAATAAAGTCATCGTATATGAGGTATTCTGCAATCTGATTGGTTGAGCTACTCGCCGTACATTTTATAACTTATTGGATCCTTCTGAGCCCAATATGGCAAAATATTAAACTAATATAAACTTAAAATAACAACATATTAATATTGAAGTCGAGACAATATTAGTTGAACTTAGTTCTAAACTATTATTTCAAGAGGTCCAGTAAGGCGGTGTTTAATTAAAGTCAACCTGGAAGCGTCCTTCAAATTATGCAACCTTGCATCTGTATATGTATATAGTACTGTTCCAACTACCATGCACGTTATTGTTTGTAAAATTATTTAGTTCAACTGGACAACATATATCAACGAAGCATTGAGTGTGGCAGGAAAGTCAATTGACCAGGATCAAAAATTGTTGGTTGCTTTGCCAGAAGATATTAAAAATATTGTGAACCTCATGAGTACAACTCCTAAAAGGTGCAGACGAAAAATTGATAAAGTTGTAAAACTACCATTGATTGTCAAAGTATCAAAATAACAGAAAAACATATGTTAGTATACACTCAACTTCCATTGGACCTCCTATGGAAGTAATTAGAAAGTTTAAGCTTTGGTCAAGCCGAGCGAAGAAAAATTGTAGTATTGTACACTAGTACTACAATACCATAAAGAGTTAATGAACATGCATCTTACTTTAAAATTGTAATGAATAATGATTTTTCAGTATATAAGAAAGAAAATACGAAGCGAGGAAATTCAATTGATTGAAATACATAGGCCATTTCATAATTTTTAGCCGACTATTCTTTCCGGCTTTACTGTAGCCTTAAGAAACTTAAAACAAATGGTCTTTCAGATTAAGTGAATTTTAAAAACACTTCATCAATAAAAAGCAAAGTTACTGACGAGTGAGAGGCAAGTTCGGCAAAAACCCCGCGGAGAAACACCAACAAACTTTTGTTTTTCTGGACTATGTATTAGGGATTTGAACTAAACACAGAACAATTTGGACTGCAGTTGAATCTTACCTTTTTATTTAGTTTTTAACTCATAAGTAGAGTATTTACCACTAAATATGAGCATTCACGTACAAAAATTGAAAAACATCGATCGAAAAATCTTATTCATTTTTCAACTTCAGCGAAGCCCACACAATAGATGGTATAAAAATACCATCTATTGGTTTCCGTGTTGGCCTTACCCAATCATAGATAATTAAGGGCCTTTTATCTGGAGTTATCGTCCCAGTATTTATAAAGTTTCCTGACGCTGAACTATATGAGGGTCACTGAGCATAACTTTGCAGTTGATCCATATTATCCTAAAAGTACCTTCAAAACGGCGCACGTGCTTAAGCTTATACGTTCGGTTTCGGGTCACCTATGGAAATTCGAGTTTATGACACCTAAAACCGGTAAGTCTAAATCAGAAAATTTGCATTGTAAACCTCCACTGCACCTACGCCCATCCGGGTAATTATTAGACTTGAGTCAGTCGGAACATGGTCAAAGTACCTAACCTAATTGAGGCATGCATACGACTTGACCTATAGCATCTGAATTTCAGGCCACCTCATATATGCTTGACCTGAAGTCGAGGTCTTAGAGAAGTTCTATATAGAGCGCTTGCACTTCAAATCTGACTGTTTTATGTGGGTAATCAAGATTTACCCAGTTAGGTCAAGCTGTAAAAGGAGCATTACGGACATGCTTCTTTTGAAAAGTGTTACATTTCATTATTTTTCTTTGTAGCTTGCTAGCCAGTGAAATAATTTGGAATGTCATAAAGGGAATGATTACTGCAATGCCAAAGGAATTCAGGGAAGCAAAAAGCGAGTTTAGTCGAATTGTTTCAGGGAGAGAGACACCCACTCCGAGATGGAGAAAGTGTGGGGACGCAACGAATAAGAATTTTGAATATGCCACAACACTGCTTTATGCAGATAGATATCTGTCTGAAGAGGCCAGGCAAAGAGTGAGTGCATCAAGTATTGCTGTGCATGATAGAAAGATGTGCTAAACATGAGAGATGATTAGACTTATTTATCATAGAAGAATAGACTATAAATTATGGTGAATAGATTGTAGGCGAAAAATGGATTTACTGTCGTTCCAATTGAAGTGTTGCTCAAATATTAATTCAATACATTACCTCAGGTGACCAATTCATTTCATCAAGTTCCTCGAGATATTCATACACTTCCTAGTATAATTGTAAACTTCTTGTTGAATAGTTTGAATGCACCAATCACCTTTGTTGTTTGTGCAACTAACCAATCATAAATAGAAAGGAAGTGACCAGAAATGATCAAATACTTGGAATTGGCTCTTTCACAGGAAGTGTATGAATATCTCGAGGAACTTGATCAAATGAATTGGTCAGCCCGAGGTAATGTATTGAATCAATATTTGAGCAACACTTCAATTGGAATGACAGTAAATTTATGACAAGACCATAGAGGGCAGGTGAATAGACCATAAAAGAATATATGCTACGTGAGTAGAATATAGATGATAGATTAAATTAATAGACTATATAGATGATGGATGAATAGACTATACATTATAGATGAATACAGTAGACGATATGTGTGAAAAATAATGGATGCTATATACTATGGTAGATTGAAAAAAGATCATCATAAGTGCCATGAATAACTAGTGGATATAAAATCAGGCATATGTTCGGTCGCTAATATGGTTAAAGTAAACCGTTTTCATGCTATATATTCTTTTTAAAATTTCAGGCCGAAGACTTGTTCGCTGAAATAAGAAGCCAGTTTATCCAAGGATTAGAAGAACAACATTGGATGGACAACGCAACCCGCGATCAGGCTCGTATTAAGGTGAGAGGAACGTTACACTACGCTCTTCCGACAAACATACCCTAACGGTTCTTGTGGAAGCAGGGCCGTAGCTAGACCGATAATTGGGGGGGAGGTTGCATATTCATAGATTGTTTATACGGCATGTGAACATAAATATATGAATATACATCCCGCCCCCAATTATCGCGTCAAGCTACGGCCCTGTGTGGAAAAGCAAGGTGCTCAAGATTTGAAGTAAATTTCAATGGGGCCTTGATTAATCTTACGTACTCAAGCACTTCAAACCAACTTTGATATTGCTATTAATATGTATTATTAGGTGTAGCTTTACATCAAAATGTTACCACTACAGCCTGTATCATCCAAGAGGAGTCATCTGTACTGCCTTAACTCCTCTTAAATGACTGTTGTCGCCATGTCCAAATTGAAATGACTCCCTTACGGTTAGTTGGACTATATAATTCATCATATTTGTAAATGTGTTGTTTCTCGTCTTAATTTTTCTTCAGTTAAATACCATGAAAGAGAGTGTTGGTTATCCAGCATTTATAAAGGACAAGGTGGTATTGGACAAAATGTATGATACGGTAGGTTTGATAAAAATATCACCTGAACATTAAGCTGTATCGCAAACAAAAATATGGAATAAAGCGATTGGATCCTGTGGTTGTCAGTTTGAAAAAGCACAATGCTGTTAATCTTACTGTTTTTGTTTAGTGCATTCATTGAATCTTTTATCGACTGCTATGAGTTCACGAAGGGTACCAGTCGGAAAATATAGGTCTTCGTGCTCTCCTAAACGTCTTAAGTTGGCATAACATGCACATAATGATAATAATTATAGCTTATCAAAGTCTGCAGTTGATAATCAGACCAACTCTGAATAAAAGCCATGCTCGAAGCACCTCGTTTCACTATTCCTGCATGCACATCAAAGGTGCAGCAAACGCGCGAGACAATAGACCTTATGCATAATGACGTCACATGGCTTGATGCCCGCGAGGAATGCTGGTCTTAGCAGTCATCGCCCGGGAAAATTAAACAATTCAAAATGGCCACTATCGAAATTTTCCCGGGTGATGACTACTAACACCAGCATTCCTCGTGGGCATTAAGCCTGTGACGTCATTATGCATAAGATCTATTACATAGAGAATAATATATTATATGGGTGCGCGGAAATACCATATTTATTTCGTGTGTTGAACATGATATGTCAAGAGTGAGCGCAGCGCACGAGTAAGATAACTTATCATGTTCAACACGAGAAATAAATCTAGTATTTCCAAGCATTCATGTATTTTTCTTTTTATTATATCTTCTGAAAGCAATAATTTTTACAGAAAAGCGATAATTGAAAAGCGATAATTTCCACATGTCAGATTATCAGTTTTATCAGTGGTCGATCAAGGCCAATCAATCAACTAACCCACAATAACTTGGTAAAAAAAATAGGGTCCGCTCCGGCCATAGTAGGAATTCAGTGCAATGAGTATCAACAACATATGATTATTCTTTGTTTTTTATTTCATTATTTTTAATTGAGACTCGTCAGTTTAGTAAAGAAGTCGCCCTGCGCCTATATATGAACAGGCATTTTAAGGGACCGGTCATTATTTATGGCGGGGGGTGGCACCGAAGAGAAAAGGGTTGGGTAAACTAAATTTTGAGTAACTAAAAGGTTGGGTAAATGAAAAACAAACAACTCAAGGGTTGGGTAATAAAAAGTTATTGTCATTTCCAAAGCATGACTCACTTAAATATTGGAGACTGAAAAGCAATGTCAACAGTCATATGTCAATACAATATGTGAATCAATCAGAGTCACTATCTTGATCATTTTCCGATTTGTTGGGAGACAAATGATGTCTCCAAAGAAAGTACATGTACATACAATATGAAAGTTTAGTTATCAAACTTGTGTCACAGAAGTGGTAAAGGACATGTGTGATAACTGAATGGTATTCTTTTGTAAAGGTTTTCGCCAGGGGTGGGTATTTATTTTTTAATTGATATTTGAGGTTGGGTAATCAAATTTTTTGCTTTTTAATGGTTGGGTCAGCAAAATTTTTACCAGGAAAAACATTTCTCTTCGGTGCCACCCCCCACCATAAATAATGACCGGTCCCTAATTGGTTAATTATAACAGTATATGAGACAATAAATTATGTATTACTGAATAAATGGTCTTGCTAGGCATGTGCTAAAACCTGGACTGGACTATGGACTGGACTGGACTATGGACTGGACTGGACTGGACTGGATTTTGGACTGGATTTTGGACTGGATTTTGGACTGGATTTTGGACTGGATTATGGACTGGATTATGGACTGAATTATGGACTGGACTATGGACTGGACTATGGACTGGACGCATTCATTTGTGCTAAAACCTGGGATTTTTATTTAGCTACAGCCGTTTCAACGAATTCAGTCTCCGGCTATGACTTTGTCATAGACACTATACTATATACTATATACTATATGACCTTACTTACTGAAATTTTATTTGACAGTTCATTAAATAGAAATTATACAAATTTACAACATTTTAATCAATGTTACAATTCTCGACGTTTTCAATAATTAGCGTGCGTAAATAACCGGACCGACATTTTGTACTTGTAGAGAATGTTCTTCTCAAGCTACGACATCTAGATTTATCTCTCACAATCCACAAAGCGTACCAAGAAGTACTGAAAAAGGTTAGTAAAATAGTTTTAAAACTTGATATTTAAGAGCTCGAAATCTCAAATAATATTTTGCAATTCTAGATTCCCCTTATTACGTTTTCGTAGTGCTTTCCATTGTGGTTATAGTGGTATCACAGATATTCAATGGCTTATTTTTTGTCCTGACCCGTGCAATAACTTTTTAAAAAGCTAGGGTCGGGTGCGCGATAGCCAACAGCAAAATATTCGCGAAAACATTCAATATTTTCATTCGAGGCCGCTATCTTTATCAGTGATACCACTATAACCACAATGGAAAGCGCTACGAAAA